AGGCCGCGGCTGGGAAGTTCGTTGACCACGTCCACCCTCCAATAGACAACATCGTCTTCATATTACGGTTCGCTTTCTTGAGGAGATATAATTGCTTGACACAGCCATAGACATTGTTACCGACATCATTCCAAGCTTTGAACCCCAAATTAGCCACACAATTCATTCTCAAGCCACGTGAGCATGGGCTTTTAGCCCCTAAATTGGAGGAACTTACAGTCATTTGGGTAGTGCTTGTCTATGTCAGCCCAAGAATCTCCAGAGTAACTGCAGGGGGTCAGTCAGCCTGATCTCAAGACCAATCAGAATGCCTACATTTTATGAGGTGAACTTACACGGTGCCGTTATTTGAAAGGTTCAAGAACGAGTACAGAACATGGGATATCTGAGAAGCGGGAAGGTCGGCTGGCTGATAGTTTCGACCGTATATTCCCCTGTCTACTGGTTAGTATCCGACCATAGCATGTCTGATTGGTCTTTGGAATAAATGGCAGGTGAGCAAGGATAGCAACAAGATGGACCGGGAAGAAATTACCAATTGGTGAAGTAGACGGCGTTGACGTAACCACCGGCATGTTTTCCGGTGACAGTATCAGGAGCTGATACAGGAGTGGCAAGACCGAGAGTGGCCTGCAGAGTGGCGATGATTGCCAGTGACTGAGCAAATAACGACGGCATATCGTTGACCCGAGTTATCTCTGTACTGTAATTTGAATAGAAGTGCTTGTCGAATTGATGAAAGAGCCACCAGGGCCGGGTAGAAAAAGGGGGGGATATGTAGGGAGTGATGTGGTGGTAGCGTGTCTTCCGTAGAACTACCTCGAAGGAATGTGGCCCCTATTTATACAAGACCACGACGACGTTGACTTCGCAGGTATTCGGTAGTTGATAAGGAAATTGTCTACATGGGTAGCATGGTTGAGGCGAAGAAAGGCTTGCCGTCTCATCTAGCATGGAAGACCATTAGGCAGGTTAGAGAGTGGTGGGAACATGCCACTCATCCATTTCCTTAGCATACCACTGGTTACTCGGCAATGCTGATCTCGTGATAGTCTCGACTGGGATAGGAGGCCTACCTGGCTGGTAGGCTCGCCCTGGGCTGAGACAGTACTCATCATTCGGCTCGGCAACGTTGCTGATGCGCTCAATTGAAAAATACCGACTCACTAATTGACCACACCTAGCCTATTCGTGGCTACCTGAGTAGTTGGTGCAGTCCATAAAAGGATGCTTCTCTCATTTCCGTGCAGCCATTGCAACTGGGAGCATCGCAGCAAGCGCTCCACCTTGGCACGTTTGGCGACGAACAGGACGACGCATGAGCAATGGACAGGAAGTGACAAGATGTCAAAGGTACGCACTACACCCCAGTAACCAAGTTCCGTGCTCCATGCATGTGTGCAAAAACCTCACATGAGACGGTAAAGATGGTGGGGGAGGTTCCAGAGGGCGGGTTGTGAAGCTGTGCAGAAACTACAAAGCCCACATGAAGTCTGAAGCTTGCGCATGCTGGTATTGACGGAACATGGGTTGGTTGAAGATGATTTCAAGTCTCGCACCAGATTCAGCGCCAGTGGCCCCCACCCTAGGTTCAATTTTGTGTCTGGGATGAGAAGGAGCTATCACGACGTCCTGCTGCTGCTGGTCAAAACTACCATTCGCCCATATTAAAGAATGACTGGGGAACGTCGTCGTTATATCTTTAGCTGCCCAATGGCTCGTGGGGCTTCCTCTGCCATATAGTTTTCTTAGGTAAGCCAGTCTTCATGAGCCATTGGGCAGCTAAAGAGATAGACCTGGTTTACTGTAGTGGAGCCGCACGCCCCTTTTGTTAGGGACGCTTCTCACCAAGTGCAATTATCATGGGATGTTATCTGTATGTAGTAATCGAGCGCTTAATTCCGTCATCTTCAGAGCTTCGTATCATCCAACTGTCTAGGCAGGTAGATAGAATCCGAAAGCGCCCACTCATTTACTAGGTATGTCTGGTCTGGTCTGGTGATCAGTCAATACCAACCTTGGTAGTTGGGGGTTCTGAGAACCACGGGACAAATATGAACCTTGCATCAAATCACCCAACCCTCCCGCGTGCCACCACCTAATCTTACAATCTTTGGTCCCCATCTGACCCCCGCCCTGGAACCTGTCCGGACCTCTGTATTGGAGCCTTGAACCCGGATGACAGTCCTTCAATAGCCAGAAAACCGCCGCATGAATATAATGAGCTAGCACATGCAGGTCTGGTGACTAGTGCCAATGGGTTGCTGTCATGTCCCATGTGTGCTCAAACGGCCATCTGCTTTATGCGTGCCCCTTCCGCTCCTAGCTAGACCTTTCTTAAAAGATCGGTTTTGGATGCCACTGCCAGAGAAGCCGGCATGTTGCCAATGTGTGCTTTCGAAGCCAACCAGCTTAGCCGATATTTGTTTATTGTCTCCTTACTAATGTGGCAAGTAGTCAAGGAACTGCAGCATACAATACATAACCGACCGCCAATTCTCATGCTGCCTAAGTACCTAGGTATGTAGTATGTACATTACTTCTCTTTTACTCCCCGGCCCTCGGTGGGCCTCTGCTTCTTCTACTGCTTCAGCATGAGCCAGTGTTTGGGAAATAGCTACCTAGGTATGTAAGCAATAAATGTAAACTACCGTCCCCTGGACATAGCGAAGGGACGTGAATATAATGAGAGTAACATGAGTTCTAACTCTAGCTTGAATATTGAGTAAATTGGAAAGGGCTTTCCGGATTTGGTGCTTTAAATGCTACTGCTACAATGCATTTTGTTGGGAGCTTGGCGACGGGAAACTCTTCCCAAGCACCCTACACCGAAGGAATTGGTACTTAGCATGTCATAGATTATCGTGTGTGATATATGGCGGTTTCTCTCTCTTTTTTCCCCATTTGCCCCTTTCACTCGCTTGTCTCTTGGTGTGTTTACATGCCCACGATGTAGTTACCTACTACCGTTTACGCGCGCGGCCCCTGGTTCTGGTGACAGCACAACTATTATACGATAGTGTAAAAGTCTGTGCTTGCACGATACTTGTATCATGCTTGTATTAATATTTGTCTTAAGAGGGAAATAAAAAAAAAAGTTAATAAAAATCTAATAAACTAAATAAAAACTCTCACGAGTTGTCTTAAAATAGCTGTGCTGTCACCAGAACCAGGGGCCGCGCGCGTAGTAGTAGGTATCAATGCCGCACTTGCCTTATTAGCCACTCCCCACCATATATAGTCGTGCCCGCCTTTTAAAAATTAACCGTTGCTCAACTTAAATCTGATAACTTTAATACCGCGATGACTGTATCTCTTTGAAAGTCAAGCACCTTATGGGGGCCCCACTGCCCCACGGATTGTGGTGGAACAAGGCCAATACCAAGTAGTAGTAGTATAGTGTAATTAATATAATATAACTGCTTGTACTTAACAGGGACATTAATATAATTTATATGAGTACTTAAGTTATAAGTAAGAAAAGTACCGTTTAACCGTCATTATCCTATTAGCTATTGACCCCTAGGCTTGGCACCCCACAATGTGCTCGACCTTCAAAGAGATTTAAGGATAATTTCCTGAATTTCCGGCGACCATTCTGCCGCTGCTTGCACTGTGGGCTGTCTATCTACCTGTCCAGGACTATCGCGAGGTCGTCTCCATTGTTGCTTCGCGACTCGTTTAACTAGCTCAACTTGCTTTTTTGTGCGCTAGATGCTCAGATTAACTAGGGGACTGCATGAATAACGATTTTCTGCCGCACAAATAATAGCACAACTCGTTACATCATCCCTAAGTACATAAGTAGTTACATACCCATCCATCAGGTGGTTGTTGGGCTTGTGGAACGTGGCTCTGGGAGGCAAGGTTGAGGAATTGACCAAATCCCAGGGCGTCAATCTCCGTCCGAACTTAAGTATTGACCCATCAGTGGGGTCCGGCGTCACTACGGCCAGGGCCTGCATTGAGGCACGTGGGACCACTGGTGTCGAGCCCGGTAGCTATCAGCGCCGCCACCCAGGAAATCCCGACAACCCCCACCCCCACCC